CCCGGATCGATTGAGGTAAGCGTTCTAACGTTTCTACGATTCAATAGCAGCATGGTTCTAGGGTTCTATAAATTTTTGTTTTACTTCCGTGCACAAACCCTAGAATCGATCTCTTAGGAATAGGATTCGCTTTAAAGATCCCAGGAAACCCTTCAAACACCTCCCCATCGATTTTTCCGTGAGTCACGTGCTGACGTTGTATCAAACCAATCATATCTGAATATGATTTTTTCAACCCGACTAATCATGGATACTGGAATTGGAAAATCTGACGAAGAACTCCAAAGAAATCAGGATCTTCAGATGACCCGCTTTTTATACAAACTCCATAGTTGAACGTGGATTTATGTTTTCCATGATCGTAAGTATGAAACGTGTATCCTCAGGTGAACATTATCAATCAGCAAACGACTTTTCTCCCTGGTCCATGTGATAAATCTCTGACCCATGTCGGAATTCTATCACTGCATGATCGGATCTGCGCATAAAATCGATATGAATATATATTATATTAATTATTTGCATATATATATATATATATATATATATATATATATTATATGATGAACAATAAAATATGATGAACAATAAAAACACACACATATATATAATACTTACATAGTCTCGAAGCCAAGATGCATAATGTTGTTCCTTCATTCCTGCAAGTTCCTCTCCACTTAGATTAGGATATATTGCCAAGACATCCTCGTCAAAAAGTCTTAAAAATATGTTATTAGTAAAAATATATATATGTATAATTAATTCATCAATTAAGTCATTTGTATATAAATGTGTACCTTTCGTATGGCTTAAGTTCTTCACAGTTCCACAACATATATGTGGCGATGTGATTGTACTCTTGTATAGTTAACTAATATTCTTCATACTTTTCGCCGAGTCGTCGAGTAGGTTGAAAATTTTCGGGAATAAGTCCGAAACATGAATCATATTGGTAGAGATAACTTCTATTGTCTTCGTTGGTAGACCTCTTTTTTTCATCTGGATATGAGATTCAAAATAGAAAGAACTGAAGTAGAAGATCTCCTCTAACAAATACTATTTGACGATAGATCCTTCCACTGCTGCTTTGTTTTTTGCCTTCTTCTTGAGATGGAAAAAAATCGCTCAAATGGATACATCCATCTAAACTGTACTGGACCTCCGTATATCGCCTCATCTGATAAATGAATAGGTAAATGTTCCATCACATAAAAAAATGAAGGTGGAAATACCTTTTCCAAGGCGCAAAGTATCTCAGGGATGTTGCCTTTCAAAACCTCTAGATTACTTCTTCTCAGAGATCTTGCACATATATCTCGGAAGAATGTGTTGATACTGCATAATACTTTGTGTACACTGGGTTTCAATAGCTCCGCAAATGCAATGGGAATGAGTCTTTGCATGAATACATGGCAATCATGACTCTTCATTCTCATAAACTATAATGAATCAGTATCAACGCATCGCGCCAATTTGGATGCATATCCATCAGGGAATTTAACCTCTTCTTTTAACCATTTAAACAAGACCGTTTTACCTGGTCTTGTGAGTCTGAATATCGGCACTGGTGTGTGACCATCACGTGTCAACTCCAAACTCTTTTCTCTTGCATATATCTTTCAAGTCCTTCCTCGAGTTGATGTTGTCTTTACTTCTATTCAGAACAGTGTTGATGATGTTATCAAATAAGTTTTTCTCTATATGCATAACATCCAGATTGTGTCGAAGCGTTAGCGAACTCCAATAAGAAAAATCCCAAAAAATACTATGTTTATACCAGTTATGCCAATCACCAAATCTTTTGCACTTCTTATGTCCAAAATTACCTCCACATTGCACAAAAGCTTGCAAATCATCCAAATATCCACTATTTATTCGCTTAGAATAAATTTGCTCTTCGGTTTGCATAACAGGTCCTTCCTCTGTAATGATTTTATCTTTGGTAAAAAGCGTACGATTTTGTCTGAATGGATGATTCCTTGGAAGAAATTTGCGATGACAGTCAAACCATCACGACTTCCTCCCATGTCTCAACTGAAACGCTTCGGTTTCCTCCATGCAAAACGGAATGCAAGTCTTCCATGTGTGCTCCATCCCGATAACATTCCATACGCCGGAAAATCATTGATCGTCCAAAGAAGAACCGCTTTAAGTGTAAAATTTTGTTTCACACTTACGTCGTAAGCAGAGACTCCAATGTCCCACAAATCCTTCAACTCCTTAATGAGCGGTTATAAATACACATCAAAACTCTTCTTCGGATGTTCTAGGCCAAGAATCAAAAATGTCAAAAACATAAATTCTCTTTTCATGCACATCTCAGGTGGTAAGTTGTACAGAGAAAGTATAACGGGCCATAATGAATATTGCATGCCAGACTGTCCATACAGACTAAAGCCATCAGTGCATAAACAAAGATACACATTCCTAGGCTCAACAGCAAATTGAGGAAATACCATATTGAAGTTTTTCCACGCCAAAGCCTCCGATGGATGTTGCATTTCTCCATCAACGGCAGAATGCGAGGCATGCCATCTCATATGCGAAGCCGTTTGTTGTGATTCATACAAATGCTTCAATCTGTACGATACCGGCATATAGAACATCTTTTTATACGGGGTTTGTCTCCGTACATTCTTACTCGGATGGTATCTGTTAGCCCCACAGAATTTACACTTAACCAATTATTTTTCTTCTCCCCAGTAGAGCATGCAACCTTTTTTGCAAACATCAATCTTTTCATAAGGTATTTCCAAATTCTTCAACATAGCCTTCGTATCATAATACGATTCTGGAGCTTCGTTATTTTCAGGTAAATACTCACGCAATATTTGACAAAATGTATCCATTCAACTTTCGGTGACATTGTAATCCGTTTTCGTACTCATCAATCTTGATGCGAGAGATAATCGAAACTGACCTTCTTTACATCCTTCATAGATAGGATGATTTGCCATATGCAACATGTCGAAAAACCGTTTTGTTTTGATGTTTGCCCCAGGAAAAGCATATGTCACCATTTCAACATAAGGATTTCTTATAACTTCATCTACATCATACCTCTTATCAGCCGACACATGATTTCCCGTTATTGTGACTGTCTGAACTTCTTCTCCATGAAATCACCAAATGTAATAGTCTTCCACAAATCCCCTTCGAAATAGATGTTTACAAACATCTTCTTGACTGCGATATTTAAAATTGCGACAACTTGTACAAGGACATAGCATTTTTCCACATTCTTGGTACAACGGCTTCATGGAAGCAAAATTGATAAATTGTTCCAAACCGGTAATGAATTCTTGTGTTACCTCTTTTGTAATCTGATCAACTCTTTCATATATCCACTGTCGGGATGAACGAATATTCGGTTTTGTTGAAGAAGGCATTTTTGGGAGAATTTTTGGTGTAAGGATAGTAGAATAATGATTTAGAGAGTGGTTTGGGAGAAAAATGGCAGGAAGAATTAAATAGACGAAAATTCCAACGGACATCCATTAGAAATCCGTTGAATTTCGTCAACCGTTAAATATTCCAACGGACTCCCGTTGAAATTATTCGAACATTATAATGTTCGACTATTTCTAACGGATGTCCGTTGGAATTGTTCCTGCATTTAATAACGTTCAGATTATTCCAACGGGAGCCCGTTGGAAATAGTCGAACGTTCTTTCCAACGGAGTGCCCATCGAAATATGCGTGGGAAATGTCCAACGCTGATATCCGTTGATATGTCGTTGGAAATTACCAACGGATTTCCAACGGACATGTCCGTTACACATCAGTGGGAATTCCATTAGAAATTCCAACGGATAGCCGTTGGAAATCCGTTGAAAATATTCCAACGGATATATCCATAGGAAAAATCCGTTGGAATTTGGTATTTTTTTTTGTAGTGCATCCAGACTTTGGAGGACATGCTTCGTGAATGTGTTCTTGAGTGGGGAGCTCCGTGGGACCAGTATATGACGTTGTGTGAGTTTGATACAACAATAGTCATCATACGAGTATTGGGGTATCACCATACGAAGCACTGTATGTATGACCATGTCAGACACCATTGTGTTGGACCGAGATTGGGGAGCGCCGGAACTTTGGACCGGAAATCGTCGAGGAGACCACAGAGGTTATCCGGAAAATTTGCGATCATTTGAAGACCGCCCCAGGATCGCCAGAAGTCATATGCAGATCAGAAAAGACGAGATTTCACTCTTGAAGTGGGAGACCGTGCTTTCCTTCGGGTTCAGGCGATGCGGTGGCATGCAAGGTTTGGTCAAGGCGGAAAGCTAAAACCACGTTACATTGGACCATACCCAGTGATTGCGAAGGTAGGAGCCGTGACACACCGTATTGGATTACCGATGGAGTTGGGTAACATCCATGATGTATTCCACGTGTCGATGTTGCGGAAGTATGTAGCAGACCCTACTCATGTGTTGCAACCTCAGGAGTTCAGTTCACCAGTGCTACGCGCTTTCGAGATGAACCGCTTTAGATTGTGGACCGCAGGATCAAGCAGTTACGGACAAAAGAGATTCCACTTGTCAAAGTGGTGTGGAAGAGCCAAGGAATCCCAGACATGACTTGGGAACTCGAGGCTGAAATACGATGCAACTATCCTCATTTTTCAACTGATAGTGTAATGTTTATGTATTGTGATATCATGTTGTAACAAACTCTCTTTAATGCGATAAAGTTTGACGGGATTGCAATTCTGAATTCGAAGACGAATTCATTTTAAGGGGAAAGGATTTGTAACAACCCAATTTGCAAAAAAAAAATATTGTATAAATAACAAAAATAAAATAAAAGAAGGTGCACGATCGATCGATCGTGTCATCATGATCGACTGATCGTGTAAAGGAGAAGAATGATTACAACACGACAGAACTTTGGTTGCGTCAAGTCGTTTTCGTTCTCCACTCAACCGACAACCCCGTTTATTCTGTCAATCATATTAATCCGTTCTCTCCTCTAAAAATGCGTCTCGGTGGGTGAAGTTGCAAAAAAAGAAAAAAAAAACAATGCATACAAAGGGAGAGATAGAGGGAGAGAATCAGAGAGAGTGAGAGAGACATAGGAAGATATACCGGAGACACCGAGGGTCCATACGCACCGTCGGTAACACAGACGTGAAGAGGACTCATGTGCGGAACACAGACGACAGACACGTAGAGAAAAGGTCACTGGAAAACGACCGAAAATGAACGGTCCGAAGGTGAGAATTAGGGGTTCTTCGAGAATTCCGCTTCTCATGGTTTAAACGATATTGATTAGTGTATCTATACTTAATATACCTGTGTAGGAAGTTTAGTAGAGTTTGGATAAAAATCGGAGTTGTTCGAGTTCAAAAACGAAGAAGACAAGCGACGATCGCGGCGATCGTCGAAGACGATCGAGCGATCATCAGTTAAATAAAAACAAAATAATAATAATAATAATAATAATAATAATAATAATAATAATAATAATAATAATAATAATAATAATAAATAAATATTATTGATTAAATAGAAATATTATATAGGTAAATAATACCCAGAAAAATATAAAAAACAACAAGAAAAAATAAAGAAATTTGACTGAAAATACCGACTTAGATTTTTCAACCTAACGATAAAAAAAAGAAATTAACCGCTAAGGTTAAAATATATAAAATGGGTAATAATTATCTAAAAAGCTTTAATAAATGGAAAGAAATTATAGGAAAAAATCGTTTCGGAATTCACGGTCAACGGTAAAAACGAAAAATTTACTGCTAAGATAAAAATTAGTCATAATGAATGGTAATCATCGGAAAGGTAGAATAAATGGAAATAAAGACGTGTGATTTAACCATCGAGAGCCCATTGTATATGGACATATTTTATGGCGTTAATCGATGGGTTGTTTGGGGCCAGACATCATGACACATGTGATTGTAATTAGAGAATTGGTACGATGATTGTGATGTGTATAGTCTATGTGTACGACCTACGAATGAGTCATGGTGTAGTACGAGTTAGACGTGATTGTGAATGTGGGACAAGATGGTGCAGATGGCTACGATGGCCAGTACCGGGTCACGAAGATGATTGGACCAGATGATATAGATGGCCGATAGCAGGAACAAAATAACAATTTCGTGCTTAGACTCGGATGGCATGACAGAAATAACACTCTTCCTTCTTGAACTTAGGTATAGGTTCAATGACAACGCTTGTCACTTTCGTCTTGCCCTTGCCCTTGGAACGCTTCCTTTTGCTGGAATTCTTTCCGGAAACTACCATATCACTCTTCCTTTGGCTCTCAGCTTCCTCTTGGAATGACACATTCAACTGATCAACTATCAAAGAATTATTCACGTCCTCTAATTGCTTACGCAATTCCGAAGTCATGTTTCCAAGTATGAAGCTAGACATGTCCAGATCATCATCCACATGCGTCCAATAAGCATCAATGATCGATCTAGAAGTCATAGACAGAGGCTTATCCTTCATAAGAATAGATTGCATGGTGAAATTATACAGATTCCTGCAACAAGTATGTTCTACAGAAAAGGACAAACAAACAGACAGAAAATATGCAAGTCGCTTAGTACACATACTAACACAGACAATAGATGCAATATGATAGGCTCTCAATGAGTTTCTAAGTGAGCTAGGATCCATATTTCACATGCTTTTGAGTCAGCTACGACATGACGCTCAAAACCATGCTATTTAGGTAGACAACACATTGTCAATCATATCATATATGACTGCTAGATGATTATGGGATAGTGATACACTATCACTACATATTCCTCATCCCATCCTTACCATTATGATGAGGACATGGAGCCGGAGCTGGAACCGGAGCAGGAGCATTTGGATGCGGAGCACACGGAGCTAGGAGCGAACATGGACCTCTCGGAGCAATCAGCCGAAGACTAGCCCTTGGACATGTCAAGTGATCAAGACGTTACACGATCACTTGATCCCGCAAAGCTCGACAACGACCATCACGCGAAGGACGCCCCACGAGCATACGTTAGGACCGAGCCGCCAATCACTCGCGCCAAAACTCGGGCACTTCGCCAACTACTATATGGCATCGTTGATCAAGTCTTGAGCGGGATACGCGACAAAGACAAGGCCGACGCACCCCGACATGGCCTGCATCACGTCTTCACCATCATGGCCGAACCCTACATGCAAAAGGAAGCTTCTTGAGCTGCAAGCAAAGTCCCAACAGCTATATTCTTCCAACCACCACATTAAATACATGTTAGGCTCCTGTTGTGCATGTTAAGCACAATTAAGACTCCATTCTCTTTCTATATATTTTTGAAATCACTCTTGTAATTTTCAGACTTGTTGTTGAATGAATTTTGCTCTTAAGCTTATCTCTTTCTCGTCTTTGGTGTGTCCAAAACGCGATCCGAGCCCGTCGGTGTGTCCGCGGCTGTCCTAGGTTCGGTGTGTCCGACCTTTGCCACCTTTCCCTCACTTATTCACTTCGCCATTCCCCTCTTTGATTCGAGTTCGAATGCGAGTGCCTCATTCGAGTACCGGTGATTGAACTCGGATCCCATCCACCCCACTTCGACTCTCATACCCAATTCTGAATTCGAGTGCCTCCCGCGAGTGCCGGTGATCGAGATTGGCAGCCTCCCATCCTCTTCCAATCTGGGCGTATATAAGTTAACGCCTTTGATCTGCTCGAGCAGTTGAAGACTATGTTCGATCTGGGCGTATATCACATTAGGTCCAAGTCTGACTTGATAACCCAATTCAAGCTCAACCATATTCGAGCTATGAGAATCACGATTTCTCCATACTGCCTCACCAAGATAGTCAGACACGCTCAGCTAGAGCATGACACGTAACCATGATGATTGAGGCCTTGACAACTTCTCTACTAATGGACGGTAATAGCTTGAGATTGATCATGAGAAAAAGGACAAAATTTCGGACTTGAGAAGTGTCTAAGGTCCAGTCTGGAGCTGACCAGAATCTGGTCAGCCAAACTCACCTCAGTCAGCTTCTCTGGTCTGTCGTTCTGCCAATTTTCGAAAACTTTTGAGCTTGGTCTGGGCCTGACAAACTCTTGGTCAGCTCCAGACCAACTCAGTCTTCTTCTCTGCTCCGAGTTGACCTGGAATCGGAGCTCAATTCAAAACTGGGCTTGGTCCGGGGCTGACCAAACTTGGTCATTTCTGGACAACTCGGTCCGTTCCTTCGAAGGAAAAACATAGCGTAGTCCAACTGGGCTTACTAACTTAGTCTGTTTCCTTTTGTCAGTCTGCCATTCTTCGTCTTGGACCGGCGTTGTCTTCGCTTGGTCAGCGAGGAACTTGGTCCGGTGGACCAAGCTCACTCAGTTCCCTTTGGACCGCCTGACCTGGAGCCTTGATCCGGCTGACCAAGTTTTGGTCAGCTCCGGACCAAGTCTCTTGGTCCTCTTTTGGTCCGACGTACCAACGCCTTTGGTCCGCCTGATCCAGCATCTGTTAGGAGTTGACCAACTCTTGGTCAGCTGGACCAGACCTGGATAGAGGACCATGGGCTGACTTCAGATTCTCGGGGCTGACCAAACGTGGTCCGGGGCTAACCAAACTTGGTCAGCTCCGACCAACGCACTGAGAAATCATTCTCATGCTCGTTTCGACCAAGTCTCAACTCCTTTCTTCGGATTCTTCACATATTAGTCCATCCCTAGTGGTGTGTGATCCTGTAGGCCCATTCTAAGTGGTAGTGCCTTCAGAACCCTTTCTCGAACCAGAAATCATGGTTAGCCTCTAGCAAGACGCCATGACCACCCACTTAGAATTGAGTTAGAGATGATCTAACCAAGGCATTAATGGCTCGAGTTTTGATCCTTTGTCTCACGATATTATATGTTGAACAAGGGCATGGTTTGAGCCACACTTCAAGTTCAACCGCTTTCTCGTCTTGGCAAATCGACTAATAAAATAGATGCAACTTCATCTGTAGCGTGGCCATGCATTTTTCATAGTCTGACTTTCACGAGAGGGTCCAGCGATATCTCTCCTATTAAGGAGGTGACAAGTCCCATATTGCATGTCTATTATCTACATATGATTCATGAACGTATCTGATCAACACCGTTATAATCATCCAGTTAAAGAGGACGTTTGACGCAGTCAAGACACGCCACTTCTCATATCAGATACTCTTGACATCTTAGATATGAGGATCCAAGAACGAACCACTGTATGAGATTCAAGTCATGACTCTGTCCATATGACAATCTCATGCGGGTCATCCAGTCCTCGTTCACAAAGAGTACCCATGATTGTGATATGCATCCAATGCATCGATCACACCTCATGCTAGTTTTAATTCATCATTGTTCCCACAATGATAACTGACCAGGGAGTTTTAGAATCATTCTCTAATGATTCAAGGTTACCAAAATATAACAAACATGCCAATCATATAACGGAAAGAGTAATGCATTCATAAACCCATGAATCAATACAAAGTCAAAATGTCATATCACGGATCATCCTAGAGCATTACAACCAACATGAGGCACGTCAGTCGGTTCATGTGTTGGTTTAGTGCTCTATGATGTACTGATTATGAGCTTTGCTCAGATACATTCGATGTATTGATACTTTCTATATGTTTTTTTATGAGAGTATCTTGTTCATTACATGTTCCTGCATGCTAGATCTGTTATGAAATCCATGTATCATTATGAATGATACTAAACTCCCTAGTCTTGTGTCATTATGGGAATAACGACATAATAAGACTAGTATGATGTGTGATTGATGATCACATAGATGATCATAGGTATTGGATACGATCACAATCATAGGTATTCGTTGCAGAACGGAATACTGGACTGACCCGCATGAGATTGTCACATGGACTAGCGTCATGACTTGAATCTCATACGACGATTCCATGATTGGATCCTAAGACCTGAGATATCTACAGAATCCAACATGAGGAGTTGCGTGCTTTGATTACGTCAAACGTCCTGCGTAACAGGAGGACTATAAAGGCGTGTATCAAGTACGAAACGAATCATGTACTGGATGTTAGATAGTCAAGACGGGATTTGTACCTCTCGTAAAAGAGAGAGATATCGCTGGGCCCCTCGTGTGAGCAAGACTGTAGAAATGTGTGGCCGCACTATAGACGAACGTCGTCTATTTCAGACAGTCAAACTCAGTGAACGAGAAAGCAGTCGAATCAGATAAGGTGGCTTGTCCATGCCTTA